GTGTTTCTTTGTGGTGATGACACATTTGGGCACCCGGAAGTGGAATTCGAGTCAATCCGAACAAATCCCTTCTAAGGGATGTGAACCTCCCATGGTTTGGTGGGGGAGGTTGGGCTCTAGGACCCAATTCCCCTGCAAAAGGCTTCAAAAAGAAGACACGCTTCATACGTCTCAAAAACTCCCAACCAACAAAAAAACACTCTTCATTCAACCCTGCTGTTCCTGCCAACCTCCCAATCAATCTGTCGCCTGTCTTAGTCTTGCCGAAACTTCTTCCACAATGAATCCTCATCCGATCTCGTTCTCCCAGGTCGCGAAGACCAGAGCATTCTGCTCGGTCGAATTCGAAGACCAAAACGACGTCACATCATGTAACATCCTTGGGCTTCAAACCTCCAAGTCATCCCACTTCCCGGAAAACTCCTGAGAAAAAAACATCGAGAACTTCGCAACCCGAACTCGAGAACTCAAGAACCTAACTCGAAACAGGAGAAAAGTTCCCTCCTCATATATGTGTCAACCCCACCTGACCAGCTGAAACCCACAGCCCCAGGCAGTTCCAAGGCCCCACACCCAGCAGCTTCCAACTCCACCGTCTCTTCTCGACGCCTCAGCGCGCCGCGAACGGCGCAGCGAGCCGCGGATGGTGCGGCGTCGGACACGTGGAGCTTGGACGCCCAAAAGAAGGGATTTGGAGGCAAAAGCGATACCAAACATGTCAACATGATACCTGGACCCTCCTGTCGGGGTGTCCTGGCTGGACTACCCCACACTACCTATAGGCTTCCAGACAGGGCACCCCTTGGAGGGTCCTGGTACTGTAGATCTCTTAGGAAAAGCAAGTGTCGGCCAGACCACCTGTCGGCCAAGGGAAAGGCATCACAAGCTCCGCATGTCCGGAGCAGCATGTCATCGATTGGTTGTCGTGTGTGTGGTCCTTTCACATGCAAAAGCAACACCCTCGGATGCCGTCGGACGGCGGTGACAGTCAACGCCAATCAGCGCTGTTCAGTGGACAAAGCCGCACAAAGCTTTGGGATTCTTCTCGGCTTCTGGCCATTCCGGACAGGGAGGATGGGGTAATACTAGGAGGATTGGGGGGGGGGGCTCAACTTCATTAATTCCGATGTCTTTGTGTTGCGGTGCTGCATTTCCCGGATTTCTATGGAAGTTGAGACATCTTGCTTGCCCCTGTAGGTCACCAATTCTACCTCAGACTTCTGTCTTTGTACTAGCAACCTTTTTGAGCCACTGGTTACAGGTAGCGCCCGATCGGCGCCTTTTCCCTGGCGCAGCGCTGTTCAGAAATGGAAAGTCATGGGGGTTCTATAGCTTTCTTCCGCCAAATCCTCCACACCAGCTGCTAGCCTCGTAGAAAAAAAGAAAAAAGAACACATGCGGCCGGAGGCCCCTTCCAGCGCTTAAAGAAAAACAGCGCCCACACCAGTGGTGCCCTGCCTGGGGTCATGGTAAAGCCCTCCTGGAGCACCGGCATGTTCGGTGCTCGGACTGTGTCGCTACGGTCACTCGGTCGCGCTGGGGGGGGGGGTTGACCCACCCAGACGCTCCACACAGCCACGACAGGTCCCTGGAAACCGGATTTGAGACCCCGAGGGACGAGCGATCTGTGCAGGTCCAGGAGCATCTGGCAATCCCTTACGGGGCAAGCGGATTCGCCGAATCGATCCCTCCGTGACTTACGGGGACTGCCACTACTGGCACCACGCTGGACATGTGTGCGTGCTGCGGCACAAATGGACCCAATGGGATTGCTCGAACCCAGAGAAGAAGACATCCGACATCCTAACCAAATCCTGTTTACATGGAAAGCATGCGGAGTTCTGTCTATAGTGCAGGAGTCACAAAGGGGTGCCTTTTTAGTCCCTAAGTGAGTGGATCATGGGCACCCCTACTTATCCTCCATTAGGCACCCTAATTCGTCACCTTTTGATGTTTGCTTCGTGGACGTCTGCACTTCTTCGTTCGTTCCGTGAGCCGCCGCGTCGTTCTCCTCGAGGCTCTCTGCTGTGCAAAGTCCCAGACTCTCGTCCTGTTGGCGCTGAATCGAGCATCGGTGGGATGAGTGTCTCGGAACCCTCTCTTAACAAAGAAAGAAGCAAAAATCACCTAAGTTCAACCGTTCCGGTGAAAAAAAAACTCGAAATGAAGTGAGTGAAAAAGCCTCTCGTAGGTTTGCTTTGAGTTGCCTTTCTTTAGGGTACTTGCCTCTATGGGTACCTGACTGGGTACCTGAAGGTTCGAATGCTCGGAACTCTGGAACCGGGGGAGCAAGTCCCAACCAAACAACTGTTTGTTGGCCAACTTGTTTACCACCATCACTGGTGGTGGCAAGACAGGCTTGAGACAGTTAAGAGGTTTGGATGCTTTATAAAGTCAGTCAGGGGCACTAAACTGAAAGTTCACCTGAACCTCAGAGCCACCAAGAGTGTGAGACGGGCTCTAGCGCTGCTGGGCCAGGGAATTTAGTCAGTAGAATGACGCCCCAGCCGGGAACTGATCGTTTGGAGAAGCTCTGGAATCAAACCACTGCTGTCATACCACAAGGAATCACTCTGCCTGCAGCTCCAAAACTTTGAGATGTTCAATCAGCCAGAAATCATCCCTTTTCAATGGGTGTCCTGCTTAATTAAAATAGATCCCTATAGTGGGCTGGCTAGTCTTGCAAGGTCTTGAGGTGACTGCTCCCACCAACCTCCAAGGAACCTGTTCATCCCAACGAACTTGGAGGACTTCGTTGCGTTTGCAACTGCCCTCGCCGGGTGGATCACTGAAGCGGGGACCAGACATACCAGACCTGCCACCTCGACCCTTTTTGATGAATGTACCATTCTTGTATAGGAAGACGTTCACCATCCTCCTTAACGTATTTCAACTGTTCCATCAGTCAAGTCTGCTTGATCGACTCCATTCTTCCCCTCAAACCACTGCACAGCCCTCCAGCGTCGCCTCATGGTGCAGCTCTCTGGACGATGGCATGGCCTCTTCGGTTGTCTTTCGGCCCGGTGTCTTTTCAGGTGCCGATGTGTTCGGCCCGGTTCAGGAGGTCAAATGGATCCAAATGGTCCATTTACCAGGCCTACTTTTGGCCGGGTGGCAAACGCACTCCATGTTCTGTTCGCCAGTCTGAAAAACACTCCCGGAAACAATATGCTGGAAGTGGACAAAGGCCCCTTGGATGACCATGTTCCGAATACCAAACAACTACTGAACTCCACTTCCATGATTGCTTCAAGGAGTGTATATATGTATAGGTCAAAAGCTTTGTTTCCGGAGGTCGAGTCGTCTCACACCCCGAACGCACACTTTCCACGCCGGACTCATCGGACGATTCGGACACCCGGTTCCCGGCCGACCTCAGGTCTCCCTGACTGGTCAAGTCAAGCGCAGACCGCCGGACTCTGACGGTGCTGGGTTCTGTGAAAGACCCAAAGTCAAACAAAGGTGTTGCAAGAGATCAACAAAACCAGCAGTCCAGAAATCTGCGATTCGTTGCTGCCAAAGATCTTGAGATCCAATCTTGAGATCCGGGGTGGATAGTTGACAGAAACCCGTGGTTTCTTTCTGCGTGGATTGTCTAGAACTGTAATTCTGGTGGATTCTTTCCTGCCAATCCAGTCGAAAGCCCATCTGCGCAGCCAATCCTCAGGTGTTCTCGCCTCGTGCACTGCCGTCGGAAAATAAAGAAGTTGAGCCCGGCTACACTTGGAGATAAAAGCTGCGAGGATGGCGCAAAGTTCATCCAGCATGCTTCACGGGAAAGCCAGCAACGAAAATGACGAGGAAAACAATTACACGAATTACAGAGCTTGGCTGAATCCGTATAATTTTAGACATGCATCAATTCCACTTGTGAGGAAATCTCAGCTTTTGCAGGATTGGGTAGGTTTATCAACACTAAACCAGTCCGCAGCAAAACGGCGGAGCTTCTCAGCAAAACGACTGTGAGTTGTTCTGCCGTGAATCCATATCCCAGACGCTTCGCAGGGAAGCTTTAACAATGACTTGCCACATCCTGTGGTTCCCGGTGTTCCGAAGGGAGATTCCTCTTCGGGGATTCATTTTTGCCTGTGGTTCCGAAACCGGTTTGGTTCCCGTCTGCCAGAAAAGCTGGTGTTCTGAAGGGAGATTCCTAATGAACTTTGTCGGAAGACCCTCGCACGTGGGTGCCAGCGACGACATGTCATCTGGTCGGCCAGGACGAACTACTCGAGGGAAGAAGAACACATCACTGATCGAGCGCAGGATGCTTTCAGCCTAGCAGGAACCTCCCAAGTGGTATTCCATGATCCTATCCCCAAGATGCTTCCCAATTCATAGTGCATTTTGTGGTCATCAAGTTCTATATAGATGTTTCTGGGTTCGGAAATGGTCAAAATCCACTTTTCCCATGAATATGTTGGATAGACTTACTTTCAGTGGTTCGTTCCCAAAAGCTTCTGGCTCCCAAAAGCCATCGTTTTTCCTTCCGCCCTGGACATCCCAGGCCTGGGGCCCCTCGCTTTGGATCCAAGCTTGGTGGTTTTTGGGGGTCCATTCTGAGGTCAAACCCACCTCAAAATATTCCTCATCACCCGAAGAAGGCTTACACTCCCTGAAACAATCATGGAAGTGGACAGTGGCCCCTTGGAAGACGACTTTCCTCTACCAAGAGGGGGTTGTTCACTTCCATGATCGTTGCAGGGAGGGTACTTCCGTTATCCCAAACACTCCAAGTACAAGGGCGGTCGTCCCATCAGGCATGCGAGGCCGGGTCCGGGTCCACATCCCCGTTTGGGGGCTCCCCATTGCCATCTCCACAGAAGGTAGGGAGGTGTTAGACCCCCCCAAGCCCAAAGACAACCACCCCGCTCCCACCGAAGCGGGATGACCACGGATGGCGCCGGGCTTGTCGGATCGCCATCCGGCCCCGAGTCTCGTGAGTCTCCGATGACGCGGTGAGGTCCGGCGACCCCTCGTCCGCTCTCCACAGAAAGCGGATCCTCAAGTTTGATCTGGACCAAAGTCTTGACCTCGTCGATCCGAGTCTGAGACTCCAGACACTCCGGAGGGGCGTTTTTCGCGTTTTTGGCAAGGCGGGCGACTGAGGGGCGACTGGGTGACCTGGAAGAAGAAGTTGATTGTTAGCTATTCGCATGACCCTGCAGGCCCTGTGACTTGATGACTTGATGACTTGATGACTTGACCTGCGCTGTGGTGGATTCACTGAGAAAACTTATTGTGGATCGCCGGTATGTTATAATTGCAATACGATATAGTTATACATGTTTCTTTGGGAAAATAATTCTACCTCTTGGTGTGGTTGATGTTTGACCTGAATACGTTCGAATGTTCTTGAACTCAGTTCCACAATCTGGGCCGCCGGGCCCCTTTGAAGAAGTTGAGACAAACTATATAGTACAAACACAGGCCCATCCGAAAGCCGGAAAATGGTCTTGTCTTTGGATTGTCAGCCTATCAACTACAGGTAGACGGACGACACTCCTTGGACTCCTTATCGTTACGTGGACAACCACCTGTTTGGTATTCGGATGTATCCGGAACATGGTCATCCTTTCGGGGCCATTGTCCACGTAACCATGGATGATTCCAGGGAGTGCTATGTCTATACTCCGGTGACAGTGCTTTGAAACATGGACACCGTTCTCACATTGGACTGGATAGGGGAAAAAACACCGCTTCCACCAAAGGTCGTCAGAAAGCACCCTCGAATTGAAGTCAGCACCTCAACCCCATGTTCACCAAAGTGCGTCAGCACCTCACGGGAAGAAAGAGGTTTACCTCCGTGTGAGTCATCTTCCCAGTGGTGCAAAAGAAGTACTAGATTAGACACCTGTTGTCCCTCGGCGCCAAGTGCATTTTGAGCGGTGGTGAAGAAGCGCTCAATGGCCCCACTACTACTCAACTGGGAGCCGTTGTCACCTTGGTTGTGGTCTCGGTTGTTCTTGGCATGTTCAACCAATCTTGCAGACCTTTGCTTCAAACATGCACTTCTTTGTGCGTTTGTTTTCCATCTGTTTCCCCACAGAGTGATCGTTATTCCTTCAACACAGTCACCAGGGAGGGTGGTTTTCGGACTACCGCAGATGTAGCCAGTGTCGTGCTGAAACGGATGTCACTGGCAGGTCTGTTCTTCCAGAAAAACAAGGGTGAGCTTCCCTGCTTCCGGAAAACGGGCACGCGTCCCTGCTCAGCAGAATGCAACAGACCCGTCCGACTGCGACTCCCCCCATCGTCCGTTTCGACCTCCAGTTCATCTTCCTTGACCACCTGGAGAGCGAGGCCACCGGTGGCCCAAGCACTCTCGGCCAAGCTTGGCCACCAACGGACGGACATAGCCGTTCGAGTTGGGCCGTGAAATCATGGGTGTACGCATGGTTCCTTGTGAAGCATTCTTCCGAACACTGGTCTGCCCCGGTGAAAGAAGGAAAAACAACAATTGATTTGATTAAAATTTAAGTTCAATTTCTACATCATGAAACATCAAGAGACCCAAACGCATGTTTAATGTGCCCTGGTTGCCAGCCTCATAGAGACACAAAAGTCTAACACCCCCTTTTCGATTGGGTTGGAGTTTCTTGGCTGGAGCAGAAAAGCACCCACAATCTAAGCGCGCTCGACCTTTTGCAGGCCCCAACCCCCATCAACCCCTCCCCAAAACCCCTCAACCCCTGCGCTCCAAAAGGTGCAATCTCATGAAATCTCAGTGAAATGCGAAATCTCAGCCAAGAACCGGCCAAAAACCCTGCACAACCTCTGAGTTTCGGTCGCCCGGTTGTTCCGTCGGCAGGTCCACAGCGTCGGGATCCACCGAGCCTCCAGGTAGCGATGGGAGACGAAGGGCAGCTCCCCCGACAAGCCGTGCCTGGGCGGGACCAGTGCCGAACGCGTTTGGTGGATCGGTTATACCGGTTTGCTTGGGCCAGTTGGATTGGTTGGAACATGGAGTTGTTCAACCGATAGATCTCCAAGATAGGAATGCTTCATTGCAAAGAAGACTGAATGTACCAGAGTCGCAGTATGTCCCAATGTGTGTGTGTATGTGCAGGAAAAGAAACCCCAGGTTCATCCCTCAAATGTCTATACTCCATTGGCCTTTCCAATCCGTCAGCCTGAACTGTCCGCTCTGGCACCTCTGGACCCGCCTCTGGACCCACGACATCTTGGCACCTCTTTAGACCAGGCGAAGTGGTGCCGAGTTCTTACTACTCAGTGGTGCCGAATCAGTCCCGATGGAGAGTATACTCGACTGGAGGTGTATCTTGTTGAGACAGTGCTGTTTAGACAATAGCTTCCACATGCTTCTACACCCAAAACCACTTGCAAAAGCAGGTGAGGTCGATCTGGCCCAGTCTGCCTGCTGGTGGGGGAGTCCTTTTGCTGGAAGTTTGAGAAAGGTGTTTGTGCTCAGAAACCCAGAGCAAGATAAGATTGGGTAGATCCCGAGCTACCCCGAGCTGCCCCTGGGCAACCCGGAACAAGAGTGGGATGATGAAACTCCGTTCTCCAAAGGCGATCCGACCAGACGCATCGACCTTCGCCACAAAAACCCTCCGACTCACGGCGCGTCTGGGCGCACGTCGACCTTCGGTGGTGGTCCATCGGCGCGTCTTGAGCTCGCTGCGGATAGATGGTGATGCTCTCGATCCACAGAGGCTCTAAACCTCGGTTTGGGCCAACCGGCGAACCGAGGAAAAGCTCCAGATGGAGGAGGAGGAATGGAGTGGAATGGAACGGAAAAAATCGGAGGGTGCAACAGGTTATATACATGTATCAATCATGTATCTGAATTTGGGGCTCACGGTGAAAGGGGGAAATTGAAAGGATGTAAAGGAAATGAAAGGAAAATGAGTCTGCGGGAAGGCTCCAAGGTGATGTATGTCTTTACTGGGCCCAACAAACGTCCCGCTGCAGTGAAGCAGTCGGGTGGAAGGTCCAGTGCCTTCACACCAAAACCACTGGGTGGCCTGCTTTCATAGAAGCATTTCCGGGGAATTCTGGAGACCAAAATGGCCAACACGCACACATGTCGAAGTAGAATTGAGGCAGCTCCTCTTACAAGCTTCGCATCAATACTTGCAAAATTGGCTAGTTGCTGGTGCCAATTTGGGTTTGTCATGGGGGGCCATCAATAAAGCCAAACAAAAATTGCATATATATATATAATATAATATATATATATATGGGTCGTGTCAGTTGAAGGTCTAGACTACCCTACCAAACAGTGATTTGGCAAAAAAGAACACTCGCCTGCCGCAGCCAACTGCTGCAAACAACTCACCAGCACCGCATGGGCCGAGTTGAACAGCTGACGCTGGACCGCCGAGATCTCGGCCCCGATCACTCCATGGGCTCCATTGGACTGGAGTATGCAGTTTAACCCTCCACCATGCAGCAGCAGCAGTCCAGGAACCAGTTCAACCACCCGGTTCCTCTGGCAGTCGGAGTCAGACTATGGCAGTCGGACCTACTATGGCTACTATGCTCATCGTTGGACAGGGATATGAAGATCTTCGACTCTTTGGAGTCCCCCTGAGTCTCTCACCGGCCGATGGTCCTGGGACACGTTTCGGAGAGTGGAACGACGTGGAACTGCGTATATGGTGGAGGTTGATTTTGGAGGTCCAGTGCTTGGGGTGGTTTTTAGATCGTAGCAAGTGCCTCCTGGACCCTGCAAGAACCACCCCAGAAACTGTTGGTATGACTTTTTCCTTTGCCAACAGCGGCTTGTGTGAAGCCAACTACTTTTTTTGCCACACCCACTATATAGATTATTTGTGACAAGTGATTGGACAGTTCATTTTTTTCCGTACCTGTCTTGATCAAGAGTGCACTCAAAATAATAAAAGAGACACTTCTGTCAGTGATCGAGTCTGGTATGGTCACACTTGCCGAAGATCGGCGGTCAGCTCTAGGACATTCATCCCGATCTGGGTCACTGAGCTGCAAATTGGTTCACTTGACAAAGAGCGGCCAGCGGCAGTTTGCAAAAAATAAAAATATCAGCAATAATGTGATGGAGTGAATGGTCACCCTTTCCAACAAGCCTGCAACTGTCACCAATGGTCACCAATCTTGGTCACGGAATTAGGTATTGTCACACTGCGAAGGCAGCGGCGCCCAATCTCAGTCACAGAGTCAGAAATGGTGAGTCTAGCCGAGGCATTGCAACGCAAGAAAGCTCACCGTATGATTGATGACAGTTTCGTTGGAATCACAAAATATCACAGGTAGATACAAGATGATACAAGTAGAATGTGTTACAATGAGGGACCTCCAGTCAAATTTGGAGCCCGTCTTGATGGGAGCATCTTGCTGTCTAGGAGTACCACAGGCGATGTGTTCGCCACGTCATCCTTTAAGAGGCGTTGTGTCCTATAATGACCTCTAGCTGAGCTCACAGGTGCAACAACCATGTGAGCTTGCTATCCTGCTTGAGCTCCCTGCCAGTCATTTCTGGAGTACTTCGAAAGCAAGCGTGTCTCCCTTCAGCTGAATGAATGACATCTCCATTGCCATATAAGGATTACACCTTAAGAAAATGAGATTGATCCCTTTACTGCTCTACGCTCAGTTTCGGATGTTTTGATATGTTCTGTTCGTGTTCTCCGCATCTTTGATAGCAGCAGAACCCCTGCCCAAAATTCACTTCAACAAGCACATACAGTGATTGAAACTCATGAAACTTGCCCCCAAAGACGCAGCCCGCCCACGGACGCCGACGCAGACGCAGACGGATGCTCCGGGTCGCTCCGGGTCGCGGCCGCTCCGCTCCGCCGTCGTCCTGCACCAGGGAGGAAGGAGAAGCCCAGGTGAGTCAGTGGTCGAGGACGGACCACCTGAGGCGGACGGGTCGGACGGGTCGGACGGACCGTTGTTTCACGGTCGTGGCCGTTGCTCCACGGCGTGGGTCGGTGTGACGCGGCATTCTATTAAGACGTGTAAAGCATGTTCTTCAGACATGCTGTGGAGGGGGAGAGCTGCAAACAGGTTCAAGCTGCAGAATTTAGGAGGATCAATTGGTAGAGATGTTCGGCATCGCCAAGCTTATGTCTTATGTGTCTGTTCTCACATGATGATACGAGTGTTGCTTTCTTCCGCTTGTTGTTAGAGTGATACCTGAAACTATGTCGTGTGGGTTCAGAAAGCCGCAAAAACGAAGATCCCTCAAGCAGCTCGAATTCCAGCCCTGTCGGATTCCGCCTTTCCCCCTGGCCAACCACCCACCCCCACCTCCACCCACCCACTTCAGACCACCCTGCTCGGTCCCACCAGGGTTTCTCTCTCGCCTTCGCGACGAAGAAGTGATCCGACAAGAGCCCCGGCACGGTGCCCACCTCAAAACCATCGGAGAATGGACCACGTCGGAGGGTCCCACGTCGGAGGGTCCCTCTCCGAGAGGGTGGAGCGCCCACGAAAAGGGGCGGAAAGCACCTAAAGGTGGCACCCAGTTGCAGAGACGAGTGGACTCAGATCCCATCAACATGGGCCTGGGATAGTTAAACTCATGGGGAGATGAAGGTGTGAAGATATATGGATGCACCGGTGTGTATTAGAGTAGGGAGCGGTCTTCCGTATCGACGTCCCGTCGTTTTCGGAGCCACCGAAACGGTGCCACCGTTCCGAGAAGAACAACACCTACCGACGTTAGGAGTCATGTTTTTTTTTGCAATACTCCCTAGGGATCCAAGTACCTTCTCACAAGGTGATTGGAGACACTCTAACTACTCTAATGTAGGTTCTGAGGGTCCAAGTACCTTCTGAGAAGGTACTTGGATCTCTATAGGGACTAATTATTGGACTAATCAACTCCCGAAGGACTCATGCGGTCCGGATCGACAACTCCTGCGGTCCAGATCATTCCGGACTCCTGCGGATCTACAACTCCTGATTCCTGTTGTTTCGTTTGCGTCTCTACAACGCTGACCGAAGATGAACGAAGAGTGACTCACACTCCCAGACCTGCCGTGACCAAGTCGTGACCAGGTGTGACATCGTGACCGTCACCAACTCCCACGAGTGGGACGTCCATGTCCCAAAACTGGGTGTGCGAAGCGCGACGTCCGAAACAACAGATCTTAATCTTCTTGATAAAACCCAATCAGATCTGCTTCTGATCTTCATACCAGGACCCACAGTCGGGGTGGTTCATGGACATCCTGAATCTAAGGAGCTATAATTGGACACCCCTGGGCCGGGGGCCCTGGCGATCTTCCCAAACAGTTGGTCAGTAGATCAAGGGATCCCATCCCACCAACTCGATGGAGTGAACGGTGTGAGCCCAGCCACGATGACGTAGTGCTTTCCATCGCTCCCTTCAAGGCAGGCGGCCCAAAACCTGGGAAAGAATGGACAAAACATGAGGAACGTTCCTGGGTTTCTTGAGGCAGCACCAGACAGCAGCGAAGGAGGGTTGGTGTCTGTAAGTGTGTGTGTGTGTGAGTCACTTAGTGTGTGTGTGTGTGTCGGTTGCGCCACAACCACTGCGGCTATTGGCAGGTTTGGCCTCACGGCTCGCCCGCTACCCCGCCCGGCGAACGGGCGTCACGGCTGGGGCGTCCCAGCATGTGCCGCTGCCCCACCTGCCAAGTCGACCGGGGCGTCCAAGCTGGGACCGCGAGTCGACTCAGTCCGGAGCAACAGGGAGATCAAGGTCAAGAGCTCATTGTTGGAGAGGTGGGACGTAACAAAGAAACGGATCCTGGTGCCCATCTACCTTTAATGGACAGCAGTGGATGTTTCAAAGTGGACAGCATCTGGATGTAGACTGCAAAGTGGATGTTTCATGGATGGTGGCCGTTGTTTTGGCCGGAATCTCCGCCAATAACCGGGTAAACAATGAGAATGGGTATATAAACTCCACTTCGGTGATTGTTGGGAGGGTAAAAGACATGTTAGCTGGGGATCTTGTGGTGGTCCTTGTGGTGGTCAGGCCACTTCCCCCCACATGCCGCACCAACAGAATGGTCAACTGGTTGGCTGACGGGGCAACAGTGATTCAAGAAATGCTATTACTCTTCTCCTGAGACACAACAACACCAAATCTCCAGTGAACATCTTCACTAGTGAGCTGGGTGCGTGATAGAAAAGTCATGGCCAGTCAGGTCAGCAGTTTAAAAGGACCCACACAGCATCTTTTCAGGATCGATGATCTCTTCAAAAAGGCCAAATCTACCATTTGAATCTTCTTCAAAAAGAAACAAAAAACCGTGGTGACGGTCCTCCCGCCTCCTCCCCATCCGTCCATCATCCGTCCCCGTCCCCGTCCCGGGCCGTCCCAAAGGTCTCATCGGCCACCACCTTCTGAACTCCCGGCCTGGACGGTACCGACCGACACGTGCCGACGGCCCGGCCGACGGGTTGGTATCTTTTGGGGTAGGGAATGTCCGGGAACGTGTCCGGGAACAACCAAACGCCCAATATGGATTGTGGTATAAATCCTAAAGTCTACCCCTCCTTCTTCACAAGTACCAGCTCAAAATCTCTTTCTTCCCCTGGTTTTGTCCCAAACTTTTGTCCAAACGCCTCTGTTCCATCCACCATCGACAACCCACGACCGCCCCACGACCGACCCGACGACCCGACGGACGACCCGGGGAACGGGACGGCGCCTGCCACGGCTGCCCGCCTGGAGTGGATGGGTCAGACCCAAGCGAGGAGTCGTTGGAGCACTTCTGTTTTGGATCTCCCTGGATCTGAGGTCCTGAAGGGGTCCATGTTCCTTTGGAATCGTTCGAGAGCCATTCAACTCACCCAAAGGATGATGAAGGAAAGTCCCTTGGACTTCACAAACAGGGTCTTTGAGTCATTTGAGTTCGCAACCAATGTAACACCCCAGGTTCGGGGCCTCGGGAACTCTCCCAGGAGCGGTCTCGTGCCACCCATCGAGGAGTGTTTTGCTCTAGAACCGTTCCACAGGGTGCCCAACCACCAACCACTCTCAACCAATAGAGCCCCAAGCGAAGCTGTGACCTCATGCAACCCACGTGCAGAGGTGACTAACTGTTGTTTCTCCTTCATGGCTGACCGCCCCCTGAAAAAAATTCAGCCGCATCGTTCGTTCTGCGAGCTGTTTACCCAGCACTTTCTTCTCAGAATCAGGGGTGGTCACCTCAGCTGTCGACCAGATCCGTGACACGCCGTTCACATGGTCACCACCCTTCACTCGAGGCACGCTGAAGTGCCATTCGGAATGGCCACGCCGGAAGCTCAAGAGGAAGTCGTTGGGCAAGCGATCCTCCTTGCACCCAGGTACGACGGGGACGACAGGCCAGGCTTTGCTATTTAAATAGCAAGATGATGCAAAGATGTCTTGTTCTTGCTCAGCGATCGTGATGCTTGGGTACAAACAAGATATCTTGCTTAGCCACAGTCCTCTGCCTCTTGATTCCTCCCGCAAGTTTTCCGCCGATGTCCCGTTCATGGTCCATTTCCAACATGCTCCAGAAAAAACCTTTGACATGCATCACACAGCACAACGACATTCAGGACAACTCCAGCCACTCGCGAACAAGGTATACGGTATAGTTGCAACAGTTAACATTCATCACACGCAAGCTTGCCCTCTGCAAAGGCAAAACATGTGGACGTGTCAAACAACCAAGAAGGAACACAAGAACACAAGACAAATTCGGAACCCCCCTTGGGCCCGTTTTCGAACCATATACCCCCGTTTTCATGAACACTACATCTTAAGACCTTCCACCATAACCCTTTCCTCTAAGACCTCAGCAAATCCGATCTCCCAAGATCAGACTACATCTCCAGACCTTCCATCCGATCCAGTCCGATCTTCTCCCGTCTCGCTCCGATCTCCTCGAGGTCCGGACTGTCAGGCCCGGGCTCGTCGCGCAGGTTCACCTGCGAAGCCCGGTCACGGGCGGTTTCGCACGGGCGGAGCACGCACGGAAGGTCACGGGTGGTCCGACTCCGACTCTCCCCTTCTCCTTTCTGGGGATCTGTTTAGATTTGTAGGGCAAAGAGTGAACTGACAGTGAACTGAGTTGCCCCCCCTTGTTTCGCTGGAAGAAACCATCGTGTGGACTGCAAGTTAAAGTTGTTTGAAGAGACGTATACGAGTGTTTGAAAATGATTGAACACCAGGTTGAAAGTCGCTGTTCCCAAAACGGATGGATAAAGGTTAATTCTATATTTGCTTGTTGGTCTGCAGGGGTTTGGAAACGTGTTACATGTGTAACTGTCAACCTCCAAATTCATCCCAGAAGCATTTGTAAACTCCTGCTCACTTTTCAGCAACAGTCAAATGCAAAAAAGGCAATGCTGACTTTGAAGTGGACAGCTCGTTTTGCTCGCTTTGGCTGGCTAAACTAAACCGGGCCTTCGGAAGGTTCCGAAGCCAAACCGGGCGAAGAATGCACAGCTACAGAGCAAGGACCGCAAGGAAACAGGGAAGGGAATCAAGAGTCGCATCTCTCAGGAGTCACATGTCGCGGGTGGTGTTTCTGTTCGACAGGAGTGAGATGTCTCTCTCCGAAACCACCTCTAACCGACCTATCCCTATCCTCCGTGAGGGGATGCGGCACCCCGATCCTTCCGACGAACGGTCATGGTCACGTTGGCTTCGTTCATGTTTACTCTTATCATCTCTTAATAAGAGTTGGCCATGGCATGCCATGGCTACTTTAACTGTGGAGATCTAGGACTGTTTCTGAAAACTGCAGCGCTATTTCGTCTCTTATCGTGTTCTTCTCAAGTCAAGCAATTCTAGAACCCAGAAAACCTGCAAAGATTCAACTGTGAGCGGTGGGGATTCTGGACAACCCCCCCATGAAGTCATCTGAACTTCATCACCAACAGCAACTCACTTTCGGCCCAAAAAGGAAGCTCATGGAAGTCACTTCAACTCCATCACCAAATCGGGAGTTTCACCTAGAAAAAAGCGATGAAACTGAAGCGATTCGTTACGCCACAGGAGGGAACCACTTCCGAGACTCATTGTCCGGTGCCACTGGTGTCTTTCTAAGTAGGAAAGCTTATCACCCAAGTGTAGACCTCAGGATGTCTACCACATCAGCCGTCCGCAATCAGATTCGCCTTGATCGAACTCTCAACCATTTCCTAAGTCCAGAATAGAAAGAACACGCACGCATTCATTCACCCTTCACACACCACCAGGTCGATATACCTACTCAAACCCTTCTTCTTCCGGCAAAGGCCCTTCAAATCTCGTCCCCATGTCCTCCACCGTGCCCTCGCAGCGTGACCGTCCCCCATTCGCCTCAAAGCCCTCGCCGAAGTTCACGTGGCCCGGTTCCAGCGCCCAGCTGAAGAGACCGCCCATCGAGGCGCCCTCCTGGCGGGTCCAGCAAGAGGCGAAAATAGCAGGCGAGGAGAGGGTTGAGGAGCAGGCAGGGGAGGCGGAAGAAACCCCAAAAACGGAGGATGTGGAGAGGTGCAAGGATCATGGCAAGTATCTAGATGATTCATGATGATTCCACCTGGATGTTCCAGAAGAGTTTCAAGAGTTCTTGACTCCAAGAAGTTTCACTCGAGGAATCTTCACCTGTGCAGTCCACCCTTACATGACTTCCGCATCGGTCCAAAAACCGAATGCGTCGGATTAATCTCTCTCTCTCTCTCTCTTCGCTCGTTTTTTTCATGACCGGCAGGTGCACCCGTGTGCTCCTCCCAGGAGCCAGGCCCTTGGAAATGCGGAAGACACCATTCAGGCCTCAGCTGGTGATATGTCATGTTCCACATCCACATGTATAACTGGTCCGTGGCCGTGCAGCAAGTCTGTGAAACCAGCTAGCCCAGCGATGATTGCAGTCGGATGCCGTCAGAAACAAGAGACCACTTCATAATCTGCAACCCAGGTGGTGATGGCACAACAAAATCCACTGCGGCCACAAGGTCACCATTCGTATCTCTTCAGTGCATGGCAATGGGTCACAAACCCTCCGCTGGTCGTCTGAGATGGTTGGCCTCCAAGGCTTCCCTGCCCATCCTGTTTGACCACGCTTGTCAACCAATTGCACTGGAAAAACCACTTGCCCAGCAATCCTTCGAAGAACGGGCCGTAGACAAAGCCCCCCGAGGCGATCTCCGTCTCAGTTCACCGAGAGGCCGCCAGACCACCTGACCGTTGGTCCGAAGCAACTTCACTGAGGGCCACGGCCTTAGGCGCGGCGCGGCGTGTTCGGCGCCGGCGCTGGTGATGGGGATATCTCTCAAGAAATGCCGTGGTTGGAATCCCGTTTGGAGATGTAATAACATGTTTAAACATTATATAATCCCCACCCATTATCCAGCGGGACGTGAAATATTGTAAATTTGTATTTTCCTGAATGCGGGTGCCTGGAAGATGTAACTTACACTTTCTGAAAAAAAGAAATATGGAATCTGACAGTTACAATTTATATATATATATATATACACATCCTCTCTCACAACATGTAACAACTTGCACAAAATGCAAGTTGCAATGTCCAGGCAGTTTCCCCGAGATCTCATTTTTCCCGAAGTGTAAGCAGGCTGAGCTGAGAGAGCATTTACATAGAATAACATAAGTGTGCAGGAGCCACGGCCATCTAAACTTACTTGTTTCTAGCTTCGAAGATGCCCAAGAATGCCAGCTAGCCAACTAAAATGCCCCGATTCAATGATGAAAAAGTAATTCCTCCTTTTCATCAATGGTGAAAAAGGGCAACAGGAGGACAAGGTCTGGAGACTGCGGCCAAGGTGGTGTCAACAAGAGGACAACACCAGAACATGTGGAAGACAAGAAGAGGACAAGAGAAGGTCAAGAGGAAGACAAGAGGAGGACAACAGGAGGACGAGAAGAGGACAAGAGGAGCGACAAGAAGGAGAGGAAAAGAGAGGAAAACGAGGACAACAGGAGGACAAGGTCAGCAGACCGGCTGGCAGCCGTGGCCAAGAAGAGGACAACAACAGGCCGACAAGAATTGGAACATGGATAAACTCGATCGTAGCTTTGTGACCTATATAGCTAGACTCGATCGTTGGTAAATGACCGCAGTAATTAAACTGGATAGGAATTGTGGGTGTGTATATATATATATATCCTGAAGAGAGATACATTGGAGCACGAAGAGCAAGAGTTTCTACATGTTACTGAAAATTTGCTATGTAAAGCCCACGGGGCGCGGCACCTGCACCGCTTGCCTGTCTCGCAAACTACGCTGTGACGGTGTGCATGACTTGCACCAAGAAACACCTGCATCTCAGTCACTGTGGGCAGCATCCTCCCAACAGGTTCACTTTCGAACCATCGAAGCCGGTTAGAACGAACGAGGACACATCGAACGCGAAGGAGACACATCGAAGGAGCATGACAGGTCTCGTAAGCATGACAGTAGGTTTGTCTCGTTTCATCTTGGTTTTCGCAGATCCATCGAAATATTTATATGGGCATCCAAAACATGTTTCCAAATGCAAAGCCCTTGTGGTCATGGGATTGAGGATGGTTGCAGGATGTTGCAGGGATCTCTCAGTGACCTGTCAAGACATACTGCATCCGTCCCTTCCGGGCGCCCGACGCGGTCAAGCTGTCCCTCAAGTAGAGCCGCCCCGGCGCGCAGCTGGGTGAGAATCTGCGCGTTTCCGCGTGCTTGGCGCGTGAAACAGAAGCAAACACACGTTCTCATTATATGTCTTCTTGATCAATCCTAGCCTTTAGTTTTTTTGCCTTGATTGATTGAATCTTATCAGAATAGTCTTCTTATTGGCTGTTTCGTTGTCACTTATTTAATAGTTTAAAAAACACTATTATAAGTAATTAACCATTTTTGGGACCGTCCCAATCCAAATGCAAGGCCATCCGAAGTGATGGCACCCTTGATGCTGCCAAATGCGACATCCCTAAATGAACAGAGCGAACGACAAGGAAGGTCAACCACAATCTTTTACAATATGATCCGTGTCCGTCTGCCCATCTCAAAAGAAATCATTGTTTCAGCTTGGTGCAAAATTGTCCATCTCATGCTATGTAATGGTCTGTGGATGTCTGTGGTATAGTTCCAGTATTGTTTGCACATGTTCGGAATGCGGTCATGGTTTGGAATCTGTTAGGGTGCTTCGCATCTTGTTCTACTTCATTCAAAAATCTGAAATCCTGGACGCATTCATCGCTTCACTTGACAATCATCTGAACAAAAGCGCTCCCAGTGGAGTGTTACAGGTGCAAACCTCTTGAGTCGCGAGTCCACCGCCGCGACTCGGTTCAGGGCCTCCGAAAACAATGCACGCAGGAGGCGCCATGGTCATCTTCTCCATCTTCGCTCCACCTGTTTCAAAGCTGAGACAGCTAGAAGGATACGAAGCATGGGCAGGTCAGCAAGCCTGCCAAATTGGCACATCGAAACACATGTTCGCAGTACCTCGATCAACTCCTACCTCGCACAGGGCGTGAATCTTGTAGCTGACATTGATTCGCAAAGTGTTGGGCAGCATGCAAGCTAGTATCACACGCTTACTCGTGCTTTTGGCAGCTGAGCGTAAAGGCTGGCGGTCCAAATTGACTTTAAGGGTTACTTCCTAATGCTGCAGAAAAGATTTTGCAAAATGCTGCAAGGAAGGCCACCCATCTGAGGACTACATCGCGTGATGCGACCTGCACTTGTGACCAGGTTAGAACCCCATGGTGCGTGTGATCATGGTCTCCCTATCTCGATGCAAGAACCGCTAACCTTTCTCATGAAGCAAATTTTTAGAGGCCAGATTCCAGGTAGGCTGCGGCTGTGGATGGTCAACAAGTGCTCTAAGTGACCTGAAGAAAAATGACGGCCCTGCCGCTACTGCGTATGTTTCCTTCAAACAAACACCACCACACAAAAGTACATCACTCCTGGCCCTTGTGAATTGCCCTCAAGGCATGTTCTAAAATCAGTGTCGAAGATTCCCAAAAAAGGTCACTGTTGTTCTACTCCTTTTAGTTCTTATTGGTTTTGTGGGGGCTTGGCCATGTGCAAAATGTGCAACATCTCGTTTCGTTTTGCAGGCTTTAACAATACGCGGCATCTCCCAACTCATCCCACACTCCCAGCGTCAGGAAACTCAAAGGACAACTTTTCAGCAACTCTCACGACAAAAATGTAATCATGCTGACTTCAAAGTGGACAGGTGCTCACAAGTGAGGTTGTGTTCTTCAGACGATCGAGTTCGTTATCCTCGTGTTGCCGTTCTGACAAGTTGCATGCGCACGGAGTAAACAAACAGGCCAATTGATATCGTCATCATCCTTTCTTGCGTTTATGTTTATCCAATTTCAAAATTTATGGAAGCTAGGAAGTTTGTGGGGTTCCTAGGTTTTCTGTACCATCTCGTGTTTCAAGAGTGTGGGGGTAGTGCGACAATAAGGGGCAACCACCTGCAGTGACCTCAGTGTTGGCGGTCAAAAAGGCCAAACTCAGGGCCGGCCACCTGACAGAGGTGGCCCAGCTTGAAAGACTCATGTCCAGCTTTCAAGCTGAGCCTTTTTAGGTGCCAGAAAAACTAAGTGCCAGTTGTATCATGTTGTATCGACGTCCTTCTCCTCCGAGCCCAGCCGGGCCTCGCGGCGGCGACCTTGAGCCGCGCGAAGGCGGCCTTCAGGGCCTCTCGCAGGTCCTCGGCAGGGTCGGACGGAAGGGGCGCGGCCGCCGCACGTGTCGAGGGCCCTTGGGGTGTGTAGCTCGCTTGGGAGACCCACCCACACACCCTGAATTGGGTTCGGTTCGGGACCCGGGCCACACCGAGGGGCTCTCCGATCCGTCTCGGGGGCACAAGTCACTTTGCTGCTCACTTCTGTGAGCACAGATGAATGTGAGAGACGAAGCACTGCAGATCCACTGGTACTCTATGAAACCCAGAAAGTACAGACATGGATACCAGACATGTTGCACACTGGACGTTCAAGACTCTTTCATTGCGGATATGATCAGAGAGAACCCTCTTGGAACATGCTGTTGGGTCATTCATCCAGATCGCTTCGGGGGGCAACGGCCCCTTGTGTCTTCCTCCGCTGCCACGTCTGTTGTGTGCATTGGTTTGCGAATCAACTCAGTTCCTTTTTCAAGGCTTGCTCCTGAAAACGAAAACGTCAACGAATCCATCAGGGAAAACAAACACCCTCATGAATCCTCCAGAGTTCAGACTCCGATGGTCTGCCACTTGGGAGATATTGAGACACCCATCAACCTCCACTGGTCTCCCATCGATCCAAACGACACGACCGGAACCCCACCTGTTCCTCTGCGCTCATGACCTACACGTGTCCGGCACAGCGGAGCGTCGTTTCAGTCGTTTTCAACGGGGGCGTCTGATCATGCTATTCATCTATGGCCTCACAGCCTCCTGGCAGGACTTCGCAAGTGGATATGTCCTTCCTATTGGTCCACCGCTAGGATGTTGATACATTGTCAAAGGAAACAGAGCTGGAAAAGGTTCCCAGGCTTTGGGCGGAAGAAAAGCAATCCTGAGGGTCGCGAGTGTTTCGCAAGAACAGCAAGAAGACATGCGTCTGCCATGTGTTTAACTGCACCAAACCATCAAAACGTTACCAACCACCAAACTCATCTATATACTGTAGAAATGAGATCCATGTCAACAACCCAAAAATCTGTTCACGTGTCCAGGCAATGCATTTCCAGGAAGCTGTCGGAGGTTCGTATTACAACGTATTGTTCTTAGCCTTTGGCCCAAAGGCCACCTGCTCTTTTCGTGACCGTCCGTGCGCCAGTCCCTGGAGTCCAGACTCGAATCGCGAATCGCTCAGAGCGGACACAGCCAGCCAAAGGGGCCCTATCGATCTATTCCGTCTATATTGCGTCTCTGATCCCTGATTTCAATCCAAACCTAATTTCCTCACAGACATGGATGGTTTGAAAAAGAAACTTCTGCGACAAGGTCCTTCTTCAGCCTTTCCAGCTAAGCCTTTCCGATTTCGGGGGGTTCACACGAACCCGATCCCCCACATCCCCACGCCACCTCGTGAGGATCCACTTTCACCTTGTGAGGAACGAAACCGGTGCCGGTGGTAAAAGGGGGGGTTCAGTGGTCTGAAATGATGGCAGCATAGCATTGACCCCAAACAGTGGCCGTAGTGTCGTTTTTCCAAAGAGAACCCCGACAGTAAAACTGTTTGGGGAAACAAAGCTTGTGAGTACCGGATGTCCTGGTTTGATGTTACCAATCGGTTGGTGGTACCGATCCAATCTGTTCCACCCGCCACCGGTGAGTTCCACAATGGAAACATGCCATCGTCCAGAGTGGAAGAGACATGATCATGATAACCAGCCCCAAACTCAGGCGGCCTGTGTTTCTGGGTGTTGGGACTAGCTGCGGTTTCCTCCAACCGTTCTGAGCTGACCTTCTTTCACGGTCCCATCGGTCAACCCAGACCCCGCACGGAAGGTAAAGGTGCCAAGTTGGTCCAAACGACTTCCCAACGGAGAAAGCGCTACTTCACGTCCCAAACGGCGTCGGCTCCCATACCGTATGACGTGGCCAGGTCGGGAGACCTCGCAGTGGGACCCATCACAAAAGGAACCAAAAAATCTAAACAACTTAATACTATATAGATGTCCAAGTCCCCTTTGCCCAGATAATGACCTAACGAAGCATCACTTGCACAGAAGCAGCGAACGTCACGAACCCCACCTCCATTTCCTCCTCCTTCAGGGCGGCCGCCTCCGCGGACATGGTGAAACCGGATGCCCCGAACCATAACCGCCAGCGCTAACAAAAGCCGGGTTGACCTCAGAAACACGTAAAGATTAACAAATATTACACTCCCTGGAATTAACATGGAAGTGGAGAATGGCCCCTTGGAAGACCATGAAATCCACTACAAACAATTGGTGAACTCCACGTAACCATGTTAGTTCCAGGGAGAGTATGTTAGTCAAAATTTCGGTTCCTTCACATGAAACAGATTCTCCTCAGCAGAACGCTCAGTTCCACCTACAGTGTCCAGATCGAGCTCTCTCTCTCTCTCTCTCGATTTCGAACGTGGATTACCCACATCTTGCCGCTGAGTCAGCGACTGGTCAACTGTGGTGAACCCCGCTCTTGAGTCAGTTGATATTGAAAATGGAAGGCTTGTCACGTAATCATGAATATGGGCATTGTCATCAATATAGTTTATATATCTGTACAACCTTGAAGCTGAACAAGCCTGCAACACTCAACCGTCCCCTTCAAATAGCGGGACCTCGCAGGTGGTGGTGGGGTTTATGGTCGAACTCTTCCAACCAAATCCACCAAGGAGAGGCACTTGGTCCACAGGACACGAGTCCAAACGAATAGACTTCCAATCGTCCGCTGCCGCGGGGGTTCTTATCGAGTCACCCACCGCCATTGGCGATGCCATCGATGTTATCGGTATAAATTGCTCAATGGATTTGTTCATCTGAATGCCTTGGACTGTAGAACTGAAATCAACTAGAATCACTGGAGACCATCGCTCTTAGGGTGGAGGCCATCGCTCTTAGGTTTAGAACCACTAGAACTGGAATCAACTACCAGTAGAATCCAGAATTCTCATGAATTCTCTTTGGCAACGGTTTAGAACCACCTGGACCTTCCCAGCCATGCGGCGCTCAACACCAGGTCTCCCAGCAGAACCGCAGCGCACCAAGCCCGGCGTGTCGGAGTCGGGTGGGAAATCGGCTTCCTCTTGGCGTACCTGACCACGTCGCGATGTGCGGAACGCGTCACGGCATCGTTCACATGTGGGAAGCGAAACCGTTCGGGTGTGCCACAAAGACCTTGTTGTGATGATACTGGTTTCAGATCACTAGAGTGGTTTCAGAGTAGATTCCGATGGCACTGGCACCCAAAGATGTCCTTTCTCTGGTCCTTCTAAACCACCAAACTTGGGGTAACTTGTGCCATCTACTGTGAAAGCACTGCAGATGTTAGTCGGTAGAGTCAGATTTACTGGTGTTGTTAAGTCACTCATGTCATGTCCACATAAAGTCATTCATGTCCACGAGGAGTCACTGAAATTTGGCAAAAGCCGCTGGAGACACCATTCGCTGGATAGTCATGAGAAGTGATTGAACTCCAAGAAAACTTTGTGGACACCAGACAACAAATTATGTTTGTCTTATCATCGTTTCAAATCGCCATCACCAAGGGACAGCGCTTACCAAGATATCATTTGAAGAAAATGTAAAACACCATGAGGCACTTGTCTGACATGCGTCATTTGCTATTTGCATTGGATAGGAGTGCTGTGAAGCACCCCTTTGGAAGACATGTCCAAGACCAACAGATTTGCCACGTATATAACGCATGTTCACTGTTCTTACAGGGTGCTAAGCACGGTGTTCTGCGCAAGGCCTGCGCCAGTCTGCGCGAGTCAGCGAGCTAGTCACATGAGTCCATGATGCTCTCATACTCAAACATGTCCAATGTTATATGTCAAGCAGTTGATGCCCCAATGTAGCTGGACTGCACCTAGACACCATAAAAACGCACGACTGCATGTGTAGGACGAAGGACTGAACCATTTTGTCCTCCATTTCATATATGACATGTGACATCATGTGACTGTGACTCCAAATCCACTCCGTTCGCCACCTCCTTCCCTTCACCGCCACCGAGCGGCTTTGACGCCCAGCGCCGGAGCCGGAGCGGTCGCCCGCTCCGGCTCCGCGGCGGGAGCCGGGTCCGGCTCTGCCTGCGACCGATCAGGGTGAGGGGAAGGTGTTTTTGAGTGGAAAAGCAGAAATTGGGCCAAAACGGGCACAGGATGCCCTGACCAAGTGGGGGACCACTGACCACTGAGTCAGTGGATGAATGTCGGCCAAACGATGGTCAACCCTTGGTTCTGACAAGTGGACTCCTCTGCAGGAGTACACTGCCGGTCCTGGTGGTCAACCCATTGGTGACTCGCCGGTGGGGGAAATTATATATATATAGTAGGATTTTATCTAGCTGGAGTCTCAAAGTACCTTGGAAAATGGCTACAACCATGTTTTTCTATGGTCATGTCCCGTTTGGAGGGTCCAGGTAGAGGCAAGACCCTCCAAGATCAGCTGTTTTGATCCCCCGGTGTTTCTTACTTTTTCCTGGATGCCTTTTGTTATCAGAAAACCCTGATTGAGCAACAGATGCCACCAAGCGCTTTTGGGAGTTGAAGCAACGTTCCTTCCTCCGATTTCAACATGAATGCTGATCGAAAGCTGCAGATCCGGCCATGTGATCCTCATGTTGGCTCTTCCAGCCAACAAGCGACTATTCTATCACAGAGTCGCCAAGTCCACGTGGCACGGAGCACGGATGCAGACGTCGCCTCTTTCGCCCCCGACCGATCACGCGCTGCGCCGCTCACGGAACGACACGTCGCCGGCGGAACGGCGCGAGCCCGCACCTTCAGGGCGACGTACTTGGTCTCGTGTTCCTGGGGGACACGGAGGACACGGACGTCGGGTACGGTGTTCATCCGAATCAAAGGACCGGCGGAAACGACGACAAAGGCGGCTCCCATCCGTTTGGGGTCACCAGAGACCCATGCGAGGAACGTATGGAGTGTGAGGTAGTGCACTGGTGACCCCGAACGGAGGATTCTAGTATGCTGTTTCTGTCTAAAGCTGTAGAGACGTGGCTACCTTGATTGGTAGACTTCGTGACCGTCCTGAAAGCGAAGTTGGTCCTGGTGTCTTCATCTGGATGAGTTGGTGGAACGCTTTGGGCTATCCCCGCTCTCTGTGCTCACTCATCATGCACTCCGATACAACAGCTAAAGATGGCAAGGCTTTGCAGCGGAAAGAGAGGGATTAGACTAAAAAGTTGAAGACTACATACCGCACAGACCACCTGCCCTGTTTGATGCAAGAATTGCTTGCATGATCTTATATATCTTAGTTCCTTTGCTATCTGAGACGTTCTGAGAGCGTGATCCTCAAATGATAGCCATGAATGGCGGGCCGTTCCTTGCTACGTGACATTTGGAGACCTTTCTCTGGCGGACACCTTTCTCTTCGACAGCACTAGGAACGGCCAACCTCAGGAGCCAAGCGCAGTCTTCAAAGCAGCATTTGTTTTGAACCAACAACCCGCCCAAGTCGCCAGATGTAGAAGGACATGTAGATGGAAAATGAAACAAAGTCAACCAGACTTTAGACCCTTGCTGGGGACATCTACTAACTTTGACCTCTGGCTGTAGCACACAGTGAGTCATATATTTCATAGTATCGACCTTATCGACCCAAATCGGCACCAAGTTTCTCCAGCTTTCCATCCCACCCCACCCGTCACTCAGAACCTCCAAGATGTTCCAAGAATTGCTGAGTCGATTGTAAATCAACCCACGGCAGAAACATGCTGGTCGTAGTTGTTCGCTCCTGTCATAGCTCAGAAGCTGCCCATGCCGTGTGTTTTCTGGGAGCTTCGGCTGCGCTTGGGGACGCTTTGCTTCTCCAGAGGTACAGTACCAGACGGAAGCAAAGCGGAGAATGAGCTGCGAAGGGTACCCGGCGAACATAACACGGATACAAAGACTGCACAAAGGCCCTTTTAGGGATAATATTTTATGGTAACAATGAGATCACAGAATAAAGACATACTAGATTATAAATACAGCTGGTACTTTTTTTCAGTCTTGCTCCACAGTCAATTCCTGGCCTCACTTCGGTTTCCGAGGTCTGAGGTCTGATCACAGGGACCCTGACATCGGAACGTGGACGGGGGGTGCTTTACCCGGCCGTGAAACCAAAAACCCACCGGGCGAATCGCACTTTTATAGATGCAAAGTGACGCCGCCCATTCTCATGGGCGGTCCATCCGATTCTTTTGAAACGACTTAAGTGGCAAACGACTTGTCCATCTGACTGTCTGAGTCGTTTGTCTCTGACTTTACCTCTGAAAAGATTTTGCAAAAAAGAACTTGGCAAGGTCGACCAGTACAGAAACCACGCACAGCGCCCACGAGAGAGAAGGAGTTGATTGATTTGGTGATACGATGTTGACTGGTCAGTTTTGTCACTTAGCTTAGAAGAGAGGATCCAACCAGTATTTTGCAAATGACAAAGGAACAAAACAACTGGTGGAAGAAACTCAGAGAACATGGAAAAATGAACTGCGACACCAGTGAAGCACTTGGGGGCCAAACTCTTGGGACAGCTGCGTTCCTCGCCGCAAGAAGGGCATGGAGAAGAGCAAGTCGTTGAAACCGCCACAACATCCCGACGTGCTGACGGGACCTGACGACATCGACCAGCACCAGGCGGACACTTCACGACTAGCGATATCATGTAGAGATATGTAGAGTAAGCTGGGCTAGGAACTATGGCCATTCTTCAAGTCGAAGTTTTGGCGCAAAGACTGAAGGTTGAAGTATTCCGAGAGAGAGCCAATACACTTTGACTTCAGGATTTATATAAATATGATGATCTGCGAATTTACTAGCTTGGATTCCGGGACTCCGGCCACAGGTGCTATTCAGCAGTTGATCCGTTGGATAGCGCACAAGGAAGACAGTGGATCCTGGGTGGCACGCACTGCTCTGCAATTTGACCAACCTAGCTGAGCCCCAAGCGCCTTTGCGAGGTCCGTTTAGAGCGCAGGGAGGACCCAAAACGCACAAGGGGAGGCTGCGCAAGGGGCAGGCCCCTGCTGGCAGCCAGGCTGCGCAAGGAGCGTTTGCAGTATGTTTGGTGGGATCAAAGTAGTCTTTTTGGTTTGTTTGCTAGGAGATCCATGAGTCTTTCCAAAAGCAATGCATGATCCATCCCGCTTCCTCATTTGCATGTAAAATAAAGGGCATTTAGGGCCTTCACTGGACACTTGCTGCCGTTCTTCACCCGCGTGGCGTGTCCTGGTCCATCACTCAGGGGTGACCAGATACGCTCCGCGCGGCGTGGGCTGGGCTCTGGACACACAGAGGTGAACGATGGCTCGCTGGACACCAAACAACGGCGCCCCAGATAGAACTGAACATCTCGTATCCCTCGTGGTGGAGTAGTTCACGGTTCACAACCACCTAGGGTATAGTACCTATCCATGATTTGCCCCACACAAAGAAAGAAAAAAAAGGACTCACCTCCGCGTGAAAACGGCATTTCACCATGTGGTTTTTCAGGCTAGCTTACATGTGCGAAAGCAAGCAGCTTGGCGCTTGCACCCATCAGCTCCGGCCCAAACCCATCAGATCCGCCACCGGTTCGGCCTCTGGTTCCACCGGGGGTTCCACCGGCGGTGCGAGCTGCTCGGCCTCGCACCACGCGACGGTTTGGGACACCAGAAAGCACCAGGGAACGAGACCCGTTTTTTCATCTCAGATATCCAATGAGAGAGAGAGAGAGTGAGTGAGAGAGAGTGAGAGAGAGAGAGTGTGAGAGAGAGTGAGATCCCCCCAAAAAGAGAGTCCATTCTTGCTTGAAAGATGCCTTTCGCACCACCGGGGTCTAGGCTGAAGCAAGTCACACCCCTCCACTTCGAGTCGACCGGTGCTTTTCGAGTCGACGCGGACCGATCGGACGGATCGGATGGACACACTCCACAGTGTCACCGCCAAACACTTCGGGGGGCTTGGTTTGAATGATGAAGAAAAGAACATGCCCTAACCGGATCCCTTCGGGATTGCTGGTACGGGGAGGTTGGTATAAATATGAAGAAAGTGAGGCCAAATGTGAGACGAGAATAGCCACAGAAATCACCAAATGATCCGAAATGAACCAAATCGACAACCAAAAAAGGTCGACCTATCCTATATATATCATCATGTTTTGGCCTGAACCCAAACACCTGCCTCTGGTGCTCCTGCCGATTTGATCACTTTAAGCAATCCGCCCGTCTCCTCCTGTTGCCTGCTGTACCAAGTCCCCGAGTTGCTTCACCACCGATTTGCTTCACCGCATCGCTTGCTGCCGGCCTCCCCACCTTCCGCACACACCCCCCCCGTTCGGCACACTGTGCCGAGAGACTCCCTGATCCATCGCTGTGGCCATGGTGGGCTCCTCCCGAACCTCAGCCTCGTGGCGGGGGGGGGTAGGTGAAGTGTTGGGCGCCAAAGCCAGCGAGCCAGACGTTTAGAGTCCTCATTGACCGAACCAACCAGGGAACATCAAGTGACCGCAAACCAGGTCGGCCACACAGAACATTCTGACACCTGCCTCCAAGATCGGTTTTCCGGGTCTGTGAAAGCCCCATAGTCCAGGTGGTGGGAGCCTCCGAATTTTTGGATTTACATAGATCGCGGGGGTGGAGCGGGTGGGCGTAGAAGTAGATTGGAAGGCTTGATAAAGGTCGTCCAGTCCAAGTTGCCTCCAGCCACAGTTCAGGATTCCCTGCGTTCCAAACCTCTTGATGTCCAGTTCCCTCACCTTGTTTGGTGGAAACCTGGCGAGGATCTGTTGGGGCAAAACTCTCTTGTTCGTCTACGATCATGGGGACGATTCTCAGGGATGATGCCTGGAACCACGACCGAAACTTTAGGGCCACATCAAGGCTTCTGGGAACACAAAGATGCAGGGCAAGGTGTTGAACATGAGGCATCATGTGCCGCTCAGAAAAAAGGATGCCACCAGGCTGAACTCCCTGGTAAATGGAGAAAACGTATATGTAGTGGCTCTGGCTTCTTGAACCACTCGGGGGTCACGTGTTCTCGCCGATGGAGCCCAACAAACAACATAGACAGCCTCCCATCGGGTCCAGGTTCCTCCGTACGTCCTTTTAGGCCGACCAGAGGTGATGGCCGACACTTCCTGGTCGAAGGGTCGAACTGCCGGGGGCCGATGGTCCTGGACATCCGTTGCTCGCTCGGATGGACCCTGGACTCTTTTGGGTGCCATGTTCTCGTTGATCGTCACCGAAGCTCGACTTGAGCGGGATCTCACTCGTGCCTTCATCAGCGTCTCTTCAGCTTCCTCGGTCGATAGGGAGACCCCGTGATCCAATGGGTAAAGCTGGTCTATGTTCCTTCTTCCAGGAGGTCATTGCCTGGGAGGTCTTCCTATTTTAAGAAACGCCAAACTCAATCCAAGAGCGGTCCAAGCGCAGCCTCATTGGCCCCTCATTGGCCCCTCATGGTCGGCCCACATGGATTTGGGGTGTCCTTCACCATGTTTTTCAAAAATAAGCTATATACCGTTCGAGGTTACAAACATCATATCATAGGAACTCCAATAGCCTTGAACTTAAGATATTCTCTTCCCCCCCATGTTATCACATTTCGCAACGGAGAAACACACAGCAGACCCCACCAACAACCACAAATCCCAACCCCAAATAACATCTAACCCACCAAGCTGTGAATGAGAAACCTGCCCGTAGTAAACCAATCTACATACCAACCCCAACTCACATTGGTAGCCAAGGAGCTCGGGGTAGCCAATCACCTACCTAGTAATCAATTAAACAAGTCTACATGTATAGCCAAGTATTAGGAAGCAGTCAATTCTTCGGATGTGGCCAAATGCTTTCTTTATCCATCCACGGGGCGCCGGAACCCGCAACGAAGACCGGTCTCCGCCGCGCGACGAAGACCGGCTCCACGGGCAAAGCCGTCTGGATCTGCTCCACCTGCAGTCGTTCAGGTCCACCGGCGCTTCGGGGTCGACCGGCACCGGTGTTCTAAGAGAGAGAGAGAGAGAGAAAGAAAAAAGGAACGAAAGGAAAGAACTCCAGTCGATTCTTTTCGGGGACTTTCGACTTTCGACTCATCATGAAGGATTTTCATGGCTCAAGGGTTCAACAACTAGTTGAGTAGGCTATGGGAGCCGTTTCTGACGGTGAGTCCCTCAGAATTGGTACAGATCTTCTGCAGTCCCCATCGGTGCAGCTCGTGGCCGACAGTGTCGTGGCACTCAGGTCGTTTGGCCTTCGCAGTGGTCATCTCCTCGCAGTTGGCGCCGCTCGGACCGACTTTGGTGTGTTTGGGTTGCGCAGTTTTTGGTTGGAATTCCGGAGACACCCTGGCGGGTGTTTTTCTGGGTGCTGGAGAAAAGAATAACTGATGTTGTGGTGGTTTGGAAGGTGAAGTGTTCGTTGCGAACAAGTTCTTGTACTTCTTTCTTTCAAAGAGCGACGGCATGCAAGACATGGTGGGATGCCAGCCACAAGTCTGACATACCAGGGATGCTATCCCTCCACTGGGTAAAATGTGCAAACCTTTGTACATGCCAGGATATGACAAATGTGTGTTGAATTTCCTCTTGCATATGCTTGGACTGATCACTGCCATGAGGGTAAGATAAACCTCACTGCCATGATCCGGTGGTTTCTGGGTGGATAGGAGGATTTTCATCACCTGAAGGGTAACCCGAAGAGATCCAGAAGAGTTGTGAAGATCCAGAAGAGTTGTGAAAGAGATGCACGATCGCCCGGTACGAACCTGCTGCGAGGGAGGGCTCACTTTTCTTTCTCTCTCTCTCTCTCTCTCTCTTTTTCTTTCTATAATATATATATATATACTGTATATTACTGTATCCTTATTGGGGGGGTTGCCTTAAGTAAGTAAAGCACGAGTCAGTTTTCCCAACTTTTCCTCTCAATGGATTCACGTCCGACTACGAGAAGTTGTTGCTCGACTGTGCGTAGGGACAAACCATCCGACGTGGGAACCCTCTTGCGGTGTCTGCTTGGAAAAGGGGTAACATGTCCTCCAATGGTAGGGACCCGAGTAGGGACATTTCGACCAAACGTTGATCGAAATCCAACCTTACATCCAAGCTCCTTCGTGTGCCAAAAGGATCTTGGTGTAGAAAATGGAGACACAAAAATCAATGATCGATAAGAACATGAGTCTCTTCAACGAACATGCACAGGTGAAGAACCAAAACTCCAACAACGATCAAAGGTAAGCAGCGGGTCTCAAAATGTGGGATACTTGCTTAATCACCATGTCAGCATGTATACCAACTGGATTTAAGGGCCCCAACCTTTTTGTGCCATATTTTTACATTTGAAGGATCAAAGGTTATGTGGTTAACTCAAGGTCTGACCAGCGCTTTTCCTTTGCATTAGGCCCTCCGTGGTTTCAACCGCAGGCCTGACCACTGACCACCCCAAAAAAGGAAACGATCTTCTTCCGCGCTGTGGCTGCAGTAGCAGCTGGGCTCCTCCATGGAACCAGCTTCCAGCTTCGAAAGCCCGTGCTCTTCCGCCTCTTCTGCCCAACCACGACGTCGCAATCGCTCCGGAGCATGTCTTCGTTCGCTCGGCGGTGTATTCTTCCCACGTTTGGGTACCACCGTGCCACGTTGATGTCATCAATCTGTGAACTTTTTTGGAACAAAAACATGGTTGAGATGGCAACGATCCACGCAGGACAACGATCTATTCATCCATGAGATTTGAATCCATCCCTATGAAAGTCATGGTGCATCCCGGCGTACGTCATGTTGTACGCTTTCCCACACAAAAGGACCCGCCTTCACCGACTCCTCTAAGAGCTTCTCCTACCACGGTGGAAAAGGGCTTTAGACTAAGAAGTTCTACACGTCAGCATAATATATAGAAATACAATGAACTCCCAAATCGATCGATAGGCAAGTAACTTATCTAACAACCCAACCTAAGCTTAAGACGATCGTTCAATTGGCCTTTGAGACAACTTAAAGACCCTTTAACTGACTCCCTTCGGGACCTTTTAAAGTTGCTTCAGGAGCGTCTAACTACACCCCAAGACCCTTAAGAGAGACTCGACCTGTGATTGATAATGTTTTTCCTTTTCGTGCGAGTGGTCCAATGGATAGAGTCCGTTCTCCAGGTCCAGTGGGCCAACTCCGCCCAAGGCTTGACAGCTGCGAATCAACACTTAAAACTCGGCACAATCGGCCAACTTCAGCAAAAACACAGAGACTCGAAACAGGTAGCGATAGATGTGATGAAAAATCACTGGCTGGTTGGAGACTCCAGTTCACTTCATATCACGTGTCAATACATGACTTGAAGTGCTCGGTTCATCTTCTCCACCTCTTGAAGTGCCGCTCTGTCCAGGTCACCCATGGTGATACCTTCAAAGGAGCACCACTCTAGCACGGTGGTGTTCTTGAGAACCTCAGCGAGCTGCAAGATGCCTCCATCTGCAATGGAAACGTACTCGAGGCTGACCCTCCTCAGCTCTTTGCATTACCTTTTGATGAGGGTGTGATACTTGCCCGATTTGACTTACCTTTTCAAGAGGATTGTGGAACTTGGGTTGTCTGTTTATCTGGGGTGGTTTCAGGAGCAGATGTGGTTTCAAATCACACATTATCCCGCCAACCCAGACAAATCCAAAGATCTCAAGGTGTCTACTGGGGCCTCATTGTTTGTCAACAGCCTTTCGCCAAGTCTCTTCAGCACCAGGTTGGTCTGTACAGCCTGCGCAAAGGCCTTTGCGCCATCGAGCCCCATCTTACTGTCCTTGATTACTAGGTGATCCAGCCGAGTATAGTAAGGAAGGGCATCCGCAAGCACGGAGAATTCACTTTCAGGAAGCTTCGTCAGCACCAATTCCAAGACCTTCGCTGCCTTTTCCAAAAACACTTCTTTCTGCAGCCGCACCACATCCTCAAGATCACTGCGGTGAGTAAAGCGAAACTCCTTCACATCCACTCGTTGTTTGAAGGTCTCGGGTGCCATGGGTGCCCGGCCAATATACTCAAGCCCACGTGGATGCGGGAGGAGCCAACAGGCCGGAAGGCTTCGTGTCAGAGACCACTGAACCTCCGCCTGACACCATCCCCGTTGGGTGTACAACACCAAGCAGGCTTGGAGCTCCGTCACGGGCACTTGCTCCACCAAGCGAGTCCTTTCGTGGTAGATGGTCACTTTCCTAGACCTCTTCCGTTCTTTGATCTCAGGTGGAGTGAGCTCTTCAATTCGGAAGGTGGCCGTGAAGTCGTGAGCATAGAGCACATGCATGTTCTTCATGGCAAGTTGAAAGCATTGCTCTTGCTTGGCATTGCGCTCATACTGGTAGATAGACATATAATCAATGAAGTACCAATCACTCGCGCAAATGTCTGACGCTAAAATGCTCAGCTGATGCCCATATGGATCCTTATGTCTCACGCGGTTTTTTGCGCTGTCTGGTCTGGGTACCCTTTGGTCTACCCGGATCGTGACTCTCAGCGACCGAAAGCTCCAAATAGACCCAAGTAGCAACCTGTTTGGTTCGCTAGGTACGGCCAACTTTACACGAGTTACGGTCCAATTTTATGATGTCTGTGCGGCTATTGAATCGTCATAATGAAATCAGATTGTGAATCCCCAATCGTTTGCCAGGGTTTGGAGCATGCCATAGGAATGCACCGCTCTTATGCAACCATAATCATCGCAAACGTTGAAGGCACTTCCCACAAAAACTCAGATTTGGATAGATTTGAGGGAACCTACCATTATGAATCAAGGGTTCAAGGAATACTGTCAAAAAGTCAAAGCATACTGGCAGTGTGTTGGGATCGGGGTGTTCCATGGATTCCCAGCAATGTGAAACGCTGACAATGCGAGATCTTTGATGTTTGCGGTTGTCTGCATAGCCACCTGGCAATGTGTATGGCACCGCATCTGGCGATATATTTGGCGACGCAGCTGGCGATAAATTTGGCGACGCGTCTGCCGATACATTTGGCGATGCATCTGGCGATGCATCTTCATGCCAAAAAACTTCCCGACCCACGCTCCAGTCATGTACTTCCTCGTGGGTAACCAGTGCGCTGTGGCCAGAGGCTGTCTTCATTTCCTCCGCTTCTTGGCCTCGGTCGACCCCGTGATGTACAGATGTGGGTCATGCACGCTAGATCAATGAGCCATAGTGTGCATGACCTTTTTGTAACTGCGTATTGTCTATCGGCTATCGTTTTCCCGTGTAGTCTGTTGATTCTGTGATTGGCTCACCAAGCACTAGGAAATTTTCCAAGACGGTTCTCAAGCTGTTCAGTAAGCGGTATCACCTATCACCTACCATGTTGCAAGATCATGCGCAATCATTTGCAAGACCACTTTCTTCGAAGCCTTCTGTAAGGTTTTGTATATTTGTTCCCCGTGAATCTGTAGAAAGAGGACGCGCTTGGCACTGCTGAGACATGATTCTGAGGTGCTGGCGACGGACGAAGTTTTGGTCAGCTGCATGCAGCTCCAGCAGAAACTCCCCTCGCACCAGCCGAATGTCCGCACACTTCAACCTGAGGTTCGAACACTTTTGAAACCTCAACAATACTGTTCTGCTGTAATGATCTGCCGCCACCTCTGCTTAATTTCCGAAGAAAACCTATGAGTCCAAGGTGTGCACACACTTGAGATATTGTGTACTGAATCGGATGCCCCATGACACACGGCAACCTAGGTGAAAAAGGGCCTGTGTAATGTTGGAGGTCATGGCTCTTAGGTTGGAGGCCATCGCAAACAGGTTGGGTGGCCATCACTAGTAGGTTGGTGAGATGCAACTGCAAGACATTCACAAGCAACTGCAAAGACATGTAACTGCAAGACAAGTGAACCGCCGTTACAATTAGATTACAATTAAGTTTAGAAAAGACATTTAACATTGCAAATACGTTTACAGCTCTCACCATTGGCCTCTTCATTGGCCATCCACCAACGGTGAGAGGGATGGCCCCTGCTTATAAGAATCAACGGGGTTTCCAAACACACACATACACACACCAAGCGGGGGGGCACTAGCTCTAAGGCTCTTGACGACTTTAAAATATTTTGAATAGAGCCGAGAAAGGGAAGAAAGAAAACAATATACAGTAATGAAAACGATAAAATCCGGACAAGGAAAAGGGGAGAAGTGAGAGGAGGCCGAAGACAAAAAGGGGATGAGGGAACGTGTGACCACCCGCGTGAGCAGAAAGACCCCAAGAGACCCAAAGACAGAGAAAGGACAATACCTTTAAAGACCGAAAACCTGGCCAACCGACCTGGCGGGCCCGGAAGTGGACCCGGACCCACGCAGCACCTGCGGCGACGAATTTGAAACACCCGGACAAGGAAAAGCGGAGAAGAGAGGCAGGCACTATATTTATAGAATCCTCTACTCGAAAAACTTGCTGGTCTGCTATCTCCTGATCCGCGCAATAGAGAGAGAGAGAGAGAGAGAGCCTGCTTAGTGTAAAAGGCGTTGGTTGGGCTATATGTGACCATACGTCTGAAGCCATCTAAAACTAAAACCTATTGCTGTGACACGTGACATGCTTTTTGAATTGCATTTCACATTGTTGGGCCCAACTATGCGCTCACTGCGCCAAGCAAGGCTCAGCGTGAGTGCGGGTTCTTCTGAGTGACCTCGGCGCTCCAACAGTTCAGCAAGGTGAGGGAAGTTGGATGGGATTCCTACACCTGAACCACATACACTGCTGTGGCCGCTGTCCGAGCTCAAGGTTCGCGATGTTGCCGGCATCTACATTCATGCATCTTGGTCGAGCCCTCGTGAGCCCCAAAAGAGGGAAGCATTGGCTTCAGCAGCTGCTCAGAACCACTGAGCTGCTCTCAGCTTTCATGAATATACTGCAAACCGCTACGGGTCACAAGTTCAAACACTGAGCAGCAATGGGCTTTAATTCGGGCATCTTGTTCTCTCTCTCTCTCTCTCTCTGCTAAGCTTTCCCAGCTCCGCTGTCAAACCAGGCAGAGGAAGCATCACTCAAGGAGGAATGTGTCTTTCGCCTCTGCATCAACACTGTCAGCGGCATTGGCTTGACAATGTCCTTTCTCGACAGCAGGTAACAAAGCTGGCGGAAGCTCGCGGGGCAACGGGTGAAGTCGAGATGGGCTGCATCGCTTCGCAATTCGCCCAGCCGCTCCCGGAACAAAGCCCGAACCGACAAGTTCTTCAGTCCCAAACCCTGCTCTTCGCCCTGATCGCTCCCCTCCACCACTGATGCGCTGCCTGCCTGATTTTGGCCGCATGGCCTTTGGGATTGATCCACAAACCCTCAAAGGAATAGGAAGGGGCCATTATCTAGCCAGGCAGCACGAGTCGCCACTTTGATTTGTTGCTGTGCTAACCATCAACAATCTCGGCTTGTGAAGGAGAGAGAACATGTAGACATCCGGCTTTCCTCTTTAATCCAAGGATCTCCTCCATGTCAAGCTTAACGAGCTGCCCTCCAGCGACTTCCCACAGCGAACGCAAAAGTTGGAATTTGGCATGGCTGCCGCTAAAGCTCCAAGTAAAAGTAGTGGAATTTGAGAGCTGCCATCATCGAAGCGGAAGCAGCTGCATGGACTTTTATGAGTCTATATTGATGAGTATTTGGTTGCCCTGATAGCACGCATCTGTCCGCCAGCGGCATATTGCTAGTGGCAGCCCTCGTCTGGATTGCGATCTCGGGCGGCCATCTTTGGTGAACTGCACGGCTGTTGGCAGAACGGACCTGGCTTGCCACAAGCTGGTCCGCTTCTGTGGTATTGTTTGACCTGATGACTCTACCTCTTCTAGGGAGCTTGCCTGAAGCTGATGTGGCTG